GTCGCCATCGTATACAATGAGATGTGCGATGCACTTGAGAAGGGTAGACTTTCCAGAACCACTCTTTCCGCGGAGGACGACGATGTCACCTTGATGGATGGCGAGCTTGACGCCGTCCAAGATGACCTGCCCGTCACGATGGCAGGCAATTTCGCGCAGCTCTAGAAGGGGAGTGGTGGTGGTGGTCATTGATTAAAGTTGGGTCCCTCTTATGTACACACGTGGTGCCATGGCCGCGATCGAACGTGGCTCTGCCGAGGTCTCCTATTTTACATAGTTCACCTGAATTACTTACGTAATGTAGGCAGCCAATTTAATCCATCTGTCCCAGCTATTCTAGGAGTGATCGAGTCAAACTCTCCTCCTCCTGACGTCAACGCGTCATAAAAACACAAACGCGTCATGAAAATTCAAACGCGTCACTCCTCAAAAATCCTATAAAGCCCTCCAGTTCCTTTACAATATCTCCAACACAATGTCCGACACCAACCGCCAATCTTTCACTGACAAAGCTGCCTCTGCTATCAAGGTATTATTTACTTCATCATTCAACCCATCCATCTATTCACCTTATTATTTCTTAGCCCGACTCCCAGAAGACTACCACCGAAAAGGTTGGTGATAATATCAAAGGGAAGATGGACTCGGTCGCCTCCACTCTCCAGCCTCAAGTAAGTTTCCTCTTACCCATCTCCCATTTCAGACACTAACCCCCTTTTCAGAGCCAGAAATCTACTGGACAGCAGGCCGGCGACGCCGTAAGTGGAAATGCCAACCAGAATGATGTACGTCTTGCCATATCCCACTTCGTAACTCGGCTCACCCTGTTGTTTAGGAGTCTATGCTCAACAAGGCCAAGGGTGCCGTAGGGATGCAAAAGTAGCACTCCCATGCACCCTAACTTTCTGTATTATTATTTGTATTGATATAAATTGTAAATCTATCATCGTCTTGATACTTGCCATCGTCATTTTCGGAACCGTAGTTTTTCATGGAACATATGCTTGCATGACTCGTGCATTCACCTTTAGTTCTATACCTTGAAAATCCATGCCACTTAAAGACGCGAAGAAGAAATCAGTAGAGGGAATCGTCGTGACGGCCCAGCAGAGTCGATTCCATGTTGACGCCCTCGAAGCACCGACATCGAAAGAGGTGCCGTGCCTATAACCCTTTTCATCCTCGAAAGTTCATCCAACAACTCCCCAGGTCGACGTTAAAGATCTAAGTCTCTCCATAAGTGGTCGCGATCTCCTTTCCCGTGCCACCTTTATCCTCCGTGAGAATAGACACTATGTCCTTGTTGGCCGCAACGGAACGGGGAAATCTACACTCCTGCGTGCTCTAGCAGAAGGCCGCATACCCGGTGTCCCATGGAGCCTCCACGTCCTCCTCCTCGGCCAGACAAATTACGTCAACAGCAGCACTCTCGACGAGAGCCTTGTAGCCCTGCGTTTCGAGGACGGGACCGTCCTCGAGCACGTCATGCGAAGTGACGCAAATCGCGAACACCTGCTCGCAGAAGCTAAGCGTGCGTAACCATCCCCTATTGTTCTTCCCCGTGTAACATGCAAGACAGACTTATCCGAGGCGCTGGAAAATACCAAAGATCCTTTCGCAGTCATCGGTGCGATCCGCAAGCTCAAGCACGAACGCCTCACGCGCGCACACGACGAGATGGCCAAGATCGCCGCACGGCGAAGCGGGGCCCGCGGCGCTAAAGCTCGCAAGGACCTCATTGCCGTCGAAGAAAGGGTTGCCGTCTCTGCAGCGTCGCTCCAGCAGCCGAGAAGCGAGATCGACGCGACAGCGATGCAGGAGGAGACGCGTGCGGCGGTAGACACCCTCGCGGACATCCAGGCTTCCCTTGATGCCATGGATGCTGCAAGTGCGGAGGCGCGTGCCCGCACCGTGCTTTATGGTCTTGGGTTCTCGCCGGACGCGATCCTAAGACCATACACCACGCTTTCTGGTGGTTGGAGGACGCGTTGCTCACTTGCGAGTGCGCTCTTTCAAAAAGTCGATATTCTCCTCTTGGATGAGTGCACCAACTTCTTGGATTTGCCGGCTATTGTCTGGCTCCAGAGCTACGTGCAAAATCTCACTGACACCACTGTGGTCGTCATGTATGTTCTCATTTATTTCGCTACGGAAATTTTCGGATATTTATCCTATGATACAGCACTCACGACCGCGACTTTGCAGACGCCGTCGCCGACGAGCTACTAGTTTTACGAGAACAAAAACTCGAGCACTTCAAAGGTAACCTCTCGCTGTACGAATTCGAGAGGCATGCCAAAACCGTAAACCTCACGCGCATGCAAGCCGCACTCGACAAAAAGACAAAGCACATAGAGTCCTCCATCGCCTCCGCTCTCAGCGCCGCAAAGCGAACCGGAGACGACAAGAAACTCAAACAGGTCGCATCGCGGCGGAAGAAGATCGAAGAGCGTACCGGGCTCGAAGTTGGGCTCAAGGGCGGCCGCTTCAAGCTCAACCGCGATCTCCCAGGCTACCACCTCACGAACCGCGACGCCATCGAAATACCCACAGTTGATCCCCTCGTACGGATTCTGCTTCCGAGCGAGCCGCCGGACCTCCGGTTCCCCGGGGCGCTAGTGGCGATGGAGAAGGTGTCTTTTGCGTACCCCCGCTCACGGACGATGACCCTTGTGGATGTGGATCTGGTGATACATCCCGGGGAGCGCGTCGGCATTGCGGGGCTGAATGGGAGCGGCAAGTCGACGCTTGTGGGACTGGTGGATGGAGGACTGAGCTCAACGAAGGGCAGCGTGACGCGCCACACGAGGGCGAGGATACAGTGCTTCTCGCAACATGCCGTTGAGGCATTGGAGGAGAAGGGTAAGACAGACGGAGAGCTCACGGCGCTGAGAGAACTGATGGAAGTCAGTGGGGGTCAGTTGTCCGAACAGGAGGCCCGGGGTTTGCTTAGTGGTCTGGGGCTTCCCGGGAAGATCGCGAGTGACGTTCCTGTCGTGGCCTTGTCTGGCGGACAAAAGGTGAGCGTTTGCTAGATAAAGTTGTATCCTTTTCCAACTGGGCAATCAGGTTAGGTTAGCCCTTGCTAAGCTTATCTTCTCCCCGCCGCATCTCTTGGTACTGGATGAGGTGACAACACATCTGGATGCAGACACCGTTTTGGCACTTGTTGAGGCTCTCAAACAGTACCAAGGTGCACTACTCGTCATTACTCACGACCGGTATGGTTCCATCCGCCTCAAAGTGATTTATTAAATGAAATTTCAGGTTTTTCATGCGGTGTGTGGTGGAGGGGGAGTCACCCAATGAGTCACCGGATGGGAGTAATGAGGAGGAAGAGGAGGAAGAGGATCGTGAGTGGCAGGCCAAGCCTGGGATTGTATATCGCTTGATCAAGGGGCAGTTGAAAGCGCTCGACGGTGGTATGCGGAAGTACGAGGCGATCGCCTTGAAAGCAAGCAACAAGTTGGGGGTCCTTCGTTAGATAAGATGTACATGTCCAGTTCATCTAATTAGGGGTTCTTCCTAACCATCATCATGGTTGCGATCCGCCTACGCCATCCTTCGGGTGTATCTACCATTCAAGTAGCCCCCGAGCGGACTGACTTCACGGTCCTAAATCTCCAGCAGAAGATCTACGACGTGACACAGATCCTCCCGCCACGCCAGAGTCGTGCGTGAATCTGACATATCCCCACCAGACAACCCTAATACAAAGCCACTCTGTCAGTGAAAGCCGGATATCCACCCCGTACACTCACCTTGGTACCCGAACTACCGATAGAAAGCCTAGGGCTGAAACCAGGGGAGCAGATTATCGTCAGCGAGATACTGGATACCTCGTCTGTTTATCCCGTTCCACCGATTTCGAGTCAGAGTTCAGCGGCTAGCCCATTTGGTTCTTCAGCACCAGCGTCGTCACAAGCAGCATTATCTTCACCAGCTTCTGTGCCTGCTTCCCGTTCTCCAACAACCAAACCCGATTACGTCGAGACAGATGATGGAGTGCTAATCCATCGGGTACGTATACCAATTGTGTCTTGCGCAACTTTTCGCAAACATCTTATATATTTCAGATCGTGCCCGACGATAATTCGTGTCTATTCTCTGCCGTGGCTCTGTTATTCGAGCAAAGCATTGATAAAGCTCCCGAAATGCGGAAAAGTACGTCGTCTATTGCAGCTACCTTGAGACATCTAATCATGTTCACCTAGTCGTAGCTGATGGTATTCGGGCGGATCCATTGACTTACAATGATGGCATTCTTGGGTACGCGCGGCCCCTCCAAAGTTGAGAGATCTCACTGAGTGATGATGTCATTAGCATGTCATCAGAGCAGTACATTGCTACCATCCTCAAGCCCGCGACATGGGGCGGCGCAATCGAGCTAACGATCCTCGCCGCACATTATCATACCGAAATCGCCAGTGTCGACGTCGAAACCGGGAGGATATATCACTTCTCACCCCCAGCTGCTTCCGCGGGCGGAATGCGCTGTATACTCGTGTATTCAGGCATCCATTACGATGCGGCGACATTGGCTTCGGTGCCCGATGCGCCGGGTGAGTGGCACCAGACTATGTTTCCTGCTGTACGAGTTTTACATTTTACAAGCTTAACTTCTCTGACACCCCTGAACGATTGTAGGGTACAGATGACGACCACGATCCTGTTATGGTTGCGGCAAAGAAACTGGCCGACGTCCTGCGAGCAAAGAAGGCATTTACCAACACATCGACATTTGATCTGAAATGCGAGGTATGCCTTTTTAGATAGTCTTTTTTTACCTTTCAATTACTGAACTGAACAATCACTAGATATGTGGCCAAGGTTTGAAGGGAGAGAAAGATGCTCGTTCCCATGCAGAGCAGACGGGACATGTACGCTTTGGGGAATACTAGTTTGATCTATTACTATGGGATATCAACTCTGAACCGAAGCAAACCATGTAATACACTCACTGTATGCCACCAAAAAGATATGAGAAACAGGGCAAAAAATGGGGGTACCGCGGATCGAACGCGGGACCTTCAGAAACCGAGTATGCTTCAGTCTGCTGCTCTCCCAGCTGAGCTATACCCCCTTGAAATGGCTTGAGATTTACCACTACATGTTCTCTTCCTCTTTTGAGGGGAAAGCGCCTTCGATTTCGAATCAATTCTACAGGTTTTCTGTGTCTATCTCCAAGACTACTGGACAGTGATCAGAGGCGCCATATATCTCATCTCTAATTTCACACTGTACAGAGTCACAAAGTCAGTATCACTCTGAGAGCTATGAACAAGGGTAGCGCACCAGTTTTGCCTGCTTTGCGATTCGTTCGCTTAATACGACTTTCCGCAACACATTAGTTGAATTGTAGTCCTTATAAGATTGGTCCGAACTTACACATGTCAAGGCGCCACCCTGTCCCATTTTGTCGGGCATTGAATCGATAGGAGAAGTAGGTGTAATGCTTAACATCTGGATGAAGTTGGCGCCATATGTCGACGAATTTCTCCGAGGCTTCTTCAGAATTCAAAATGTTCTTGAAGGCAGTAGTCTCTACTTCAGTGTACCCTGCGGTCTTGTTCCAGTTTGATTTGGCATTTCGAAGATCTTCAGACACGTCTTAGAAAATGGAAATGTCTCAACAGTCAGGAAACCTTACCCATTTCTGTTGGAGCGACATTCAGATCGCCAGTCCATATTACGGGTTTCTTCTTATCAAGTTCCCGAATATACGCGTCAAAGTGGGCGTTCCACACTTTTTTAGCATCCAAAGTCTGTTTTTATGAGCCATATTTTAATAGTATGAAGTCTCGCGAGCGCACCTTGAGATTCTGGCCAGCATTGACGACGTAGGTACCGATTACATAGAAAGTCTCGAATTCCAGGGTGATTATTCTCCCTTTCACCACTGAGGGGTCAGGATGGCCAGGAAGCGTCATGTCGACCCTGAGAGGCTTGAGCTTGGATAGGATCGCTGTTCCGGCTGATTGTTGAATTAACACACAATTGGATAGTAAAGCCAAGTTTGCATTCACAGTATCCCTTTTTATCGGATATTGACCAATATCGGTGGGCATAACGTTCGGTCAAGGCAGGATCAACAGGCTCGTTGTTGACCTAATGAAGCTGTCAGCCCATAAACTGATTGGGGGCGTTCACGAGAAATGTGCGTACCTTTGTCTCGGTAAGAACCAGGATATCGGGGTCTTCTGCTTCCACATAGTATTTGAAACCCTGTCAACTTTATTCTGAGCGAGCACAAAGACGGTTTGAAGTATTACATACCTTCTTTGAGCTCGCCGCTAGGCCACATATATTCCATGTCGCCAACCGCAGGGTACCTGGTATTTTCGGGGCAAAGGTGATTGTAACTGGCATTACTTTGTTCGTCGGCTGTGCGTTTTCGAGAGCTACCGGGTCAACTTTAGGTTTCTTTGTCGTTGAAGGCTTTGTCTTTTCTTCGCCATTGTCCACATCTTTACGCTTTGGTGGCATTATAGTATATCGGACGAGGAAACTCGGGGATGAACTGCAACGTGTAAGTCGAAAGACGTTCAACTGGCACGACTTGAATGACGAGGGCCAGGCCATCAGGGTCACATGACATTGTGACAAAGGAACGCGATCGACCGGAGTTACAAGCCCGATTGCCGATCAGGTTGAATTCCCCTTTACAGTAAAAAAAACCATCAGGGTGGCCACTGGCCATATTTAATTGCTACATATAAAATTCAGCTCTGGTCTTCCATAACATACGTGGCTACGGCCTTCTTTAGTCCCATGCTCACTCATAGAGGTTTTTCTGCTTGGATCGTCGTCGACGGACAGCCTCTGCCCGAGTATCTCGTCGCTGTAGACTCACAACAGAATCGCGTATCTTGCTGGATTCCTAGCGAAGAGGGAAAGGTGCGTGCAAATTATTTGATGATAAAGCTCAAGTCTAGAGTTGCCTATTCCCGCGACAGAACTTTGCCGTGCACTGGCAGGATCATGGAGGCCAAGTAGACACCTGCTCGTTCATAACCTTGGATGGATTCGTGGTTCCGGGACGTTTTCTACTCGGTGATGGGATGGCGTCAAGGCATGGTGCTAGAACGTCGATGAATACTGAAAGGCCGTTCGTGTTCCAAGTCATTGACCACGCAGGCGAGTTCTTGGTGTCCTATTCATTGTACTGCACAGCTGAGCGTCAGAACAGACACTCAATCGACTTCGGAAGGATCTTATAAAGAGCTTGGCATAATTACACTCCGCATAAAGCGCATCGCACGCGTATCTACGCACCCTCCAAATGCGATGTTGGAGCTTCCTCCACCTTTTCCAGGTAAGCGGAAGTCGGGGGACCATTGCATCGGGTACGTGGGCCAAATGTTCTGAGCGATCTGGTCATAACTTTGGTTCTCAGATTCGGTCAGGAGGGACGTACAAATGAACAACATCCGTCGACCTGGTCTGTGGTGGCGTACGAGAAGGCGGAGCGAAAGAACTCTCTACCAAGCACCTACGTGTCTTTTGTCTTTCGATACCGGTCTTATGGTGCGTCCTCCTCATGAGTAAAGTATGCACCCCTAAACCTTGTTTCCCAGAGTTCCTTGAAGCACAGGGCATTGCCACAGAGCCTGAGCCCATATCCTCTCTACCCCCAATGCAACCACCTATGCGCCGGGTTGTCAGTCTACCTCCATCCATTCCGTCAGTCGACATCCCAACACTGCCAAGGAAGAAGGCAAAATTCGCCATGATTTCCCAACTGGTAAGTTCATGGGATATTTATCGCGTAATTTTCAATAACACGTCTGAAGGGACCATCACACGACGCACGGAGAACTGTAAGCTTGAATGTCGAACCGAATAAAGGAACTGGTTATCCAGGAGAAGGCATGCTGATTTTCAACGATACGCATCACGAAAGCCCATGGGTAGACTCCGGGTATAGTAGTACTGAGGCAGGGGGGAGTCAAGACTCGGGCTATTAAAGTAGACTGGCGGGGCCAGTCCATATTTGCCATCTATCGTCGATATGCTTTTTTCGATATCATGTTGTGCTCGCTTTCGTCGCTTTGTTTTATCGTAACTGTTACATGTATTGCGCCCCTATGATATGATCTTTATTTTTCTATTCTTTTTTGCCTTCTCGATTCGTATAACCGACCACAGCGTTAGACCAGTGAGTTGACATAGTTTTCAATATCTGCAGAATGTCAGATATTAAGTAAGGCTTCAACAATGGTGCAACGTACTTGCATAGCCATTTGAAGCAATATTCGCAGAGTCCTTGACATTTGGGTCGGTGCCATGGGCTAACTCGTATGCGTCAGGAATGCCATCTTGATCTGTGTCGACTGGAGACTGAAAAATGTTAGATATCGGCCTTGATTCGCTCAGTCATAAAAACGGCGTACAGTTCCACCAGCAATGGGTCCTGGACCATTAATAGGTGATGCAGTGGGATCTGCGATAGTCGTGCCGATTTTTCCGAGGGAACCTAATTCAGTGTTGATCAAGTACGTGTCAACATGGTCCCGCGATATACTGGCCCCCGCGGACGCGATGATCTTGGTAAGGGCGTCTAGTGGCGCGAGCAGAGTGCTCACTGTGGGGTAGTCGTACTTAGTGGCTTGGAAGTCGACAGGCGAGTAATTGTTGGTGGTCTCCGACAAGATCCAGCCGCTGAGAGTGCCATCCTTTGGTTGACGAACCCTGTCAAGTACCAGAAACGTGTATGTGTGCAGTAGGTTTACCTGGTCAGGATCATAATAGTTGTTGGAAACGTATGTATGGAAGTTAGCATTGCCCCGCGTGACTGCGAACATTTAAATTTGTTAGCATAACATTGACGTCGTGCGATTCAGTGCTTACAAGGGTGAGTTGTAGTGGATGGGCCACTGTGTAGACTTCATGAAAACGCAGATGGTTGTCTCCGTGTGGCTAACGCACCTTATGAACACATTATTCAAGATGTTCGCATAAGAGTCACCAGCTGAATCACCGGCAATGTATCCGCCTCCGCTACCCCAGTTATAGACCTGTAGACAAGGATAAAGGACATTAAATATATACAACAGGTGATAAATATCCTAAGATATTGGGCTTACCACATTGTTGACAAATTCGTTGACTCCTTTGACCTTCGGGTTTCTAGTTTTATTGTCGATGTACAATGACCGAATGATACTAACGCCCCCGTCCGTCTGAATAAGTCCGCCACACGAGTGAGTTTCAAGGCCCTGCGCAATTATAGAGTCCGAAATAGTGACATTCGACACATCGCCGTTGATGGAAAAGGTCTCGTCGCGACCCCATGACACTGAGACGTGATCGAAGATCATATTCTCGCCGTTGGCAATAGTGATACCATCTTTCCCGCTGTCACCTTAGAGAAATGGAGTTGTGAATGCCATTGATTGTGCAAAAAGGCCTACCAGTGGTGCCCATTCTGAATCGAATAAAACGTGTGATAGTATTACTTGCCGCAGAATAGGATATTCCATTGCCATAGACAGTGATACCTTGCCCTGGTGCTGTTTGGCCCGCGATAGTGACATGGCTACTGACGACGATTCTGTCCGTAATCGTGATAAGGCCTCCGACGGCAAACACGACAATCTTCCACAGATGTGAGTTTAATAAGGATCAACGCTCTCCAATGCACAAAATTTACTCGGTTAGATTGAGATACGGCGTCACGGAAGCTCCCAGCTCCGGAGTCGTTCAAGTTGGTTACAATATAGACGCTGCCACCGCGTCCACCTGTTGACTGAGCACCAAAACCTGAAAGAGTCAGGGCATAAGGCACATTTTATGAATGTCAAATACTCACCCTCGGCACCCGGGAAGGCGAGGAGAGCCGAGGAAGAAGAAATGCCCGTGAACATGGCAGCGAGAAGTGAAGAGAACTTCATAATTCACTCAAGAGGGGGGCGTCGTTCATTTGAACATCATGACTAGAAGTTCATATAGTGAATACTTCCTACCGACCATACGCCAAGATTTATCCTCCGTGAAAGAATTCGAGCGTTGTGGGAGTGAAATAAGATGGCGGTCCGGCAGATATCGTCACATGTGGGTATACAACGAGAGAGAAGGCGACAG